CAGAAACAACTCTTTCTCTGTACTAAGACCTTTGCACAGCACAAACAGCATACATAATAGTTGATTAAAAGCATAGATGCTTGGGTCAGACTGCCCAAGTTCAAAGCTTCACTCCTTCACTTCCTGGCTGAGTGACCTTGAAGGAATTACTATGTCTGTGCCTCAGTTTTCTCATCTGAAAATGGGGATGTTAACAGGTTAGCAGTTTTATTGGCTTGCAATGAGGAATGAGTTAATATATTTAAAATGCCTGGGAATATGTCTTGCACAAAGGCAGTCATTTGTAAAATGTTAACCCTATATAGTCCATGTTATTATTTTTCTTCTTCCTCACAGCTATGAAACTGAGACCGCATATCTAACTTCTCCCCAATTACGAACCCAGTGCCAACAAGGCTGGGCAACACAACACAGACACAAAAACACCCCTAGGGACATGCTTCCCTAAAGCCCTGGCATCCTTGTGAAAGAGGGCAAAAGAAGCATTGCAAGAAATAGGTTCAAAGTGCAAGAAGGAAGACGCCCCTGGAGACGAATTCTACAAACCAGTAAGGACTAGCATCCTGGGCCCAAGGGTGGCTGAGGAAGGGGCAGCTTCAAGTGCCCACCCCAACGGCCAAGGCTCCCAAGTCCAAATCAGGAATGTGCTCTGCCCCAGTTAAGGCTAATGAGAAAAAGGCTCCTTCTCACACCATTTCTCAGGAAACTAGCAAAAGGGTGGCAACTAAACACTGAAGATAGCTCTAGCTCGGTCTGGCTGGAAAAAGATGCATTCGACATGAGTTGGAAGCTGCAACAAAGGGGAGGCTCCTAGATGAGCCGGAGGCCTGTCAGGGACACACTTCTGAGACGGAGCCAGCAGAGACAGACAGGCATTAAGAGGGCCAGGGGAGGGAGGAGAGAAGAGGCAAGTGGAGCCATGCCCATGTCAAGTATGGAAGAGATCATTTAGAAATCAGTTCATCGCAGTGCTGTTCTAAAAGAATAAATCCAAAAGGCTTCTTTTAGGAGAAAATTAATGACTTTAAGGAGAGCAAGAGAAATAAAGCACCAAGACAATGCTGCCTACTTCCGACTTTCACCAGACGTTCATTATTCTTCCGGAAATGAAAGTTGACTTTCTCCCTCCCCCTCCCAAATTTGAAGCATACCTCAAGAACAGAGAGTGAGCACAAGATGCCCAAACCAAACTCTTGCCGCCAGCAGCGCCCCCAAGCCTCCTCACCTGGGAACCATTTTCCATACAGTGAGGTCTGGATTTCTCAAAAATCCTCTTTCAGAGGGAGGGCTACTGGTTTACTGGAAAGAGAACCATACCCTGATTTTAGTCTCAGCTCTGTGGCTGCCTCACTAGATGACCTTGGATTATACACCCCCCCCCCCCAATTCCAGGGCTTCAGTTACACACATACAAACACACTGATACAAATGCACACACACCCCCATCCATTTGGTGGCAAAAAGGGGATAGATTTCTAGGTCTCTTCCAAGTGAAACGCTAAAGAATTTCAAGAAACCTGCTGGGAAAAAAATATGAGTGGACCTTTAAAAATATCACTAATACTACATGAGGTTATCTGTTCTGACTTAAGTGAAACCAGAGCAAATTGCCTGCAGCCTGCAATAACCAAGGTGTTTGACCCATGACACAGAGCATGACTTTGAAGAAAAACCAAACTGTTCCTGCCTTCCGATGCTCCTACAAACACATGCTCCTGCCCAGCTTGGCTCTTGAGTCCCAAGAGGCCTGCTGACCACTCTACTGTGTTAGGGAGCCCCCTACTCCTTCCCACCTTGCCTTCTCTAGAATAATAATACAACCTCCCTCAGCTACATCAAAGGGGAAGTTAAACCTCTGAGCCTCTGTTTTTTTTTGTTTTTGTTTTTGTTTTTTTTGTTGTTGTTGTTGTTGTTTTTCCTGTAAAATGGTGATTGTAGAAACGGTAAAATGTCTTTGCCATAACCACTTTTTCCTTACCCCCACCTCCAGCTCCAGGTCAATAGAAAGCCAAGTGTATTGAGGATCTGCCTCACCTATCCCCATTCATTTACCAGCCAACAAATTCTTCTGGAGAACGAGCGGGAAGACATGAGCACCACTTCATTCCATGCTGGAACCCTGGTGGCCAGTTTGACCAGACAAGGGTCCCCAGAGACTAAGTCTAAACCTGGGCCCAAGAACTTCCTAAAACCGTACGCTACGTTTTGTGGATGGTGCATACATGTACTTTGGGAGAGACAGTCCATGTTTTCTTCAGAGATTTGAAAGTGCCCATGAAACCATTTTGCTCCTCCAGCACATACACTCCTCTGTTTTGTCCCCTCACTGAATTCAAATACTCTTGGGATTTTCAGCTCACAAAACACTGAACACCCTCACACTATACATACACCTTACATCTCTATACAACGATCCCCATTTCAGAGATGAGGAAGTCCAGGCGCAGGGGTGGCATGACTTGCCCAAGGTCACAGCTAAGGAGCAGAGAATGAAGACTGGAACCTGATTCCGATTCCCAATCTGGCATTCTTTGGGGAGCTCTGACCCAAGGTCTCTAGCTACCCCACCTGTTGATGGATTCCCTTCCTCATCCCAGAGCCAAATCTGGAGCTCTCATGTTCCCTCTGCCGGGTCGCAGGGCCCCAAAGAGTAGGTTTTCTTACAGCTCCCCACCCCTCGCTCTGGCTGAGGTTGTGCGCAGGCCTGGGAAGAGGAGGTTCAAGCCGCTGGATGGTGCCGGCTTCAGCCCACCAAGAAAGGCGACTCCAGGGACAAGAGCACCTGAGGTCAGGGGCACACAACAGCGGGCGCGCAAATGTAGAGTTGGCGCTGCCCTACGCCTCTCTCCGGGAAGAGAGGAGAGGATAGGCGGGTCACCTGGCCGGTCCCCCTCCATCTGCCCTAGGCGTAAAAGAAACAGGAGTCTGGAGCCCAAGCCCATGGGGGAAGGAAAGGAGAAACAAATGGGGGCGCTCAAGGCCTCTGGCGCCGGGCAGAGATCCTCTGGATGCGGCCAAGACAAAGATGGAGAGGTAAGGTCTGCGCGCCACCTCCAATGGCGGGGGGCGGGGGGGGTGCGCATTGGAGCCCCAGGGGTGGGACAGCCAAAGCCCCGGGCTTGAAGAACGGGCACATTCAGGAGACTCAGGGAGGGTGGCAGGTCGGATCCAGGGAACGAGGCAGGGGGCATCCAATAGGCACAGGTGAGGAGGCAGAGCTGGGTCCTGGCGACCCAAAGGGCCCACCTGCGGGAAAGGTGAATGCAGACGATCTCGGGGTACCTGGAGGAGAAGGCCAGAAGACAGCGCATCCTGGAGACCCTGGGGTCCCGTGAGTGCCGAAGGAGACTCTGGGGGCGCCTTCCCAGGCGGTTGGGGGTGGGGAAGAGAGCGTGGCCACCTCTAAGGGCGCACGGGTTGGGGAGGGGGCCTCGGGACCTGGATCCCGGGACACCCCCGGGGTCTGGGGGCGGGCCGCGCGCTTACCTGCATCCTCGTCGTCGAAGGAGTTCATGCACGGGAAGTAGATGGCTAGCGCCTCGAAGGAGGCTGACAGACTGAGGCGGCTCTGCGAGCGCTCCATGCCCGCGCCGGCGCCGGGCGCCTCGGCCGCGGCGGCGGCGGCCGCGGCGGGCGGCTTGGGCAGCTTGGCCGCCCCATTCTTGACGCGGAGTACTGCGCGAGGCGTGGTGGCGGCGGCCCGGGGCCGGGCCGGGGCTCCGCTGTGGGGCTGGCGGGCGCGGCGGGGCCGGCGGGCGGGCCAGGAGCTGGCGGCGCGCGGAGCCCGAGGCGCGCTGTGCTCCGGGCGGCGGCGGCTGTGGCGGCGGCGGTGGCGGCGCAGCGCGCTCTGGCCCGCGGCGCCCCTTGCCGGCCGCGCGGGGCGGGCTCGGAGCGGCGCCGCAGCCAATCCGCGCCGCCGGGGGAGGGGGCGCCGCCGCGGGGCGTGGGAGCCGGGAGGGTGCGGGCTGCGGCCCCTCTTCGCGGTCCCTGGGCCGGCAGGTCTGCGCTGGGAGGCAGGCGCGGGACGAGGTTGGCTGGGCCCTGGTCCGAGGGCGGTCACCCGACCCCGCCGCGGCCCCCACCCTCAGCCCGCGGACTCGCCCAGAGGCCGGCGTCCAGTCCCCCACCCAGACAGGCCTCACCCTGAGACACTGGCGCGCTCGCAGGGGACGCCCTCAGAGGGTCCTGCCCAGGCCGGTTGGCACTCGGCCTCCCACACAGAGACCCTCAGCTTCACACCTGCACCCACAGAGAAGCTCAAACAGGCACCTACACCTACACATTGACTGCAGTATGCCCCGCAGACACCCGGACAGATAAACCCACAGGCCCACCCCTCACACACGCGGGGACAGACACGTCCACGGACACACGCAGACTCACACAGAGACCTGCAGACACGCTCAGGGAGGTAGGCAGGACACCCCTGGTGCCCGGCCTCCCACTTGGGGAGAGTCTCAGATGCCACAAAACCCCAGAAAAGTTCAGATAGGCATACACAGTCTCACGCATTCGCACTTACCCACAGACACGGCAGAATTCATACACACACTCATACACTCAGATGGACACACAAGTCAGACCCAGCACACACTGTGTCGCCTCCCCCGTGACCACCTCAGCACTGTCAAACACTCTGACACGGCCGGATGCACACACCGTCATCCTTGGACACACTCAAGTAGCATACACATGCCGAGACACAGCCACAGACTCCATCCCTCCCAGCGTGGTGCATCCTGACTGATGCACTGATACCCTCAGACTCAGGCACAGTGAGACACACTCTGCAGGCTCACACTCACACACTCTCCCATTATCACCCTCGACCCCCCCACGGTCCTCAGACACACATGGGCTCAGACACTCGCAGCCCCAGGACAGAGACGAGCAGAATCCAAAACCCACGCTCCATTACCTGCATGTGACCTGGGACATGATGGTCCCTGCCCACCTAATCAGGCCCCAGATGTCAAACAAATTCCCAGCTGCTCACATACCTCTTTATGAAGCCATCTGGTGACATGGAAACAGTTCAGGCCTCAGAAAGAGAAAGCCCAGAGTTTGAGTCTCAGCTGCAGTGCTGTCTTTCTGCGTGGCCTATGGCAAAATCCTTTACCTCACAGGTCTTGTTTCTCATCTGTACAATGGGGACAGGAACCTTCCATCTTGGACAGTTGTGAAGCGTCTGTAAGATAACACGGGTGTTTGTTTTCTATTGCTGCCTAACAAGTCAAGTGGCTTAAAAACACCAATCTAGTGGTTTGTGATCCTATAGGTTCAGAAGTCTGGGTAGCCCCAGCTGGGTTCTCTGCTTAGGGCCTCACAAGGTATTGGCTGGACTGGGCTCTTCTCTGCAGGCTCTGAAGAAGAGTCCACTTCCAGGATCATCCAGGTTGTTGGCAGGATTCAGTTCCTTGTGGTTGCAGGACTAATGTTCCTGTTTCCTTGCTCGCTGTCAGTCAGAAGTCAATCTCAGCTCCTAGAAGTAGCTTTCCGGTCCTTACACATGGCCCCCTCCACCTTCAAGGCCAGCCTCAGAATGTCAAGCCTTTCTCATCCTTCAGTAGAATCTTTCTACCTTGCCTTCTGCTTACTGACCTGAGAAACTCTGCTTTTAAAGATCTCATGTGGCTGGGCGTGGTGGCTCATGCCTGTAATCTCAGCACTTTGGGAGGCTGAGGCAGGTTGATCACGAGGTCAGGAGTTTGAGACCAGCTTGAACACAGGGTAAAACCATGTCTCTACTAAAAATACAAAAATTAGCCAGGTGTGGTGGTGTGTGCCTGTAATCCCAGCTAATCAGGAAGCTGATGCAGGAGAATAGCTTGAACCCAGGAGGCAGAGGTTACAGTGAGCTGAGATCGTGCCATTTCACTCCAGCCTGGGTGACGGAGCAAGATACCATCTCAAAAACAAAAACAAAAACAAAACAAAACAACAACAAAAAACTCATGTGATTAGAGATCAGATGTGATTAGAGATCATCCACTTGCATGAATGATGTCCCTTTGACATATAATGTTAATATAATCATGGTAGCAATTTCTGATCATGGTCACAGTTTCCACCCACACTCACACAAGGGCAGGCTCATACAAGGGATTATACAAGGGCAAGGATCACTGGAGTTATTCTGACACATCTGCCCATCACAGTATGCAAAACATCTAGCACAGTGCTGGCCTTCAGCAGGTGCTCCTGAGCTCTAGCCCCTTCCCAGGGAGCAGACTTAGACTTTGAGGCAGCCTGGTGTCATGGTTAAGAGGGCTGGTATCATCATCCTCACCTTGGTCAATGGCAGCTCCATTTTTCCACTTGCTCAGATCAGAAATCTTACATACTTAACTCCTCTCTCACACACACCACATTTATCCGCCAGCATCTCCTGTGATTTCTATACACAAAATATAACCAGAAACTGACCACTTCTCTACTTAAAACCCTCCCATCTCACAGGCAAAGTCCAAGTTCTACAAGGTCCTAACTTCTTTGGCTGTGCCACCCCTCTGTCCTCATACCCAGGACACCCTGGTGGCTCACTTGGCTTCAGAACCTCCGTTCTGCTGTTCCTGCTGCCTGAAGCCCTCTCCCTTGCAGAGGGAGCATAGCTCACTCACAGATCTCTGTCCCAATGTCACCTTCCCTCTGAAGTCTTCCCTCACCACTCTTTATGAAGTAGCAAAACCCCTCTCTGAAATGCCAAATCCTCTCTATTCTGCTTTATTTTCTCTGTAGCCCTCATCACCATCTGACACGTTTCATATATATGTGTGTGTGGTACATGTATCTATACGGACACACACATATATATGTACATGTGTGTATATGTGTATATATGTGTATGTGTTTGGATATATATACACACACTCACACAACACACACTGTTTTTTCTTATTTGTTTATTGTCTCTTTCTCCCCCTCCCCAGAGCCCAAAAGGATTCCTGGCAAAAAGTTGGTGTTCAGTAAATAGTTGTTGATTGAATGCATAAACTCTCATACCAGCCTTAGGAAGGAAGGAGATGGATTTTTTTGCATCCTCTCCTCATTTTACAGATGGAGAACTGAGGCTTACAGAGGGGAATGGACTTACTCCAGGTCACAGTGAGTGGGTGTCTGGTCAAAAATGGTGGGTGGATCCGGGCATAGTGGCTCACACCAGTAATCTTAGCACTTTGGGAGGCTGAGGTGGGTGGATCACATGACTTCAGGAGTTCAAGACCAGCCTGGCCAACATGGCAAAAGCTTGTCTCTACTAAAAATACAAAGATTAGGCAGGTGTGGTGGAGGGCACCTGTAATCCCAGCTACTTGGGAGACTGAGGCAGGAGAATCGCTTGAACTCAGGAGGTAGAGGTTGCAGTGAGCCGAGATCTCGCCACTGCACTCCAGCCTGGGCAACAGAGCAAAAACTCCATCTAAAAAAAAAAAAAAAAAATGGTGGGTGGGAATCTAACCCAGCATAAGGAGATGGAAGAAGGCTTCCCTGAGGATGTGATGTTTAAGCTGAAAATAGCACCTCCTATGTGCCTGGACTTCTTGGTGTGATTTCTCCTTTCTTGGTTAGCTCATGCCTAAAATTCCATCAATAGGGTTTGGGGCTGTAAGTATAAATCATTACCCTTTGTAAATATGTAATGTTTTCCCATGGGAAATTTAAGTGGTCAGCCACTTACACCTGAGTATGAGTAATGCATTATAAGAACAAGTTTGGGGGGGTGGAGAGGGATGCTTGAGAATATGAATGAGGGAAATGGTGGATGTGGAACCAGAGAAGGAGTGGATGGGAAACCAGAGACAAACCTCCAGGTTGGACTTCACAGCCCAGTGAGATGGAGGATGCCGAGAACTAGGCAGCTCAGTGGAGTGGAGTGGAAGAAGCATTGCCTGACTTGGGTTTAAACGTCTGTCCTTGTTTTATTTATGTGACCTTGGGTAAGTTCCCTCAAGGTTCTCATCAAAAAATGAGAATAATAGGCCAGGCACAGTGATTCACACCTGTAATCCCAGCACTTTGGGAAGCTGAGGCAGGAGGATCACTTGAGGTCAATAGATTGAGACCAGCCTGGCCAACATGGCAAAACCCTGTCTCTAATAAAAATAAAAAAATTCCCCAGGCATGGTGGTGCACGCCTGTAACCCCAGCTACCTGGGAGGCTGAGATACAAGAATTGCTTGAACCCGGGAGGTAGAGATTGGAGTGAGCTGAGAGGATGCCACTGCACTCCAGCCTGGGTGACAGAGTAAGACTCTGTCACCGGAAAAAAAAAAAAAAGAATAATTAACACTTCTTTGCACAATCGTGGTGGAGATTGGATGTATACAGAGTGTGTCACATATAATAAGTATTTGATAGATACATTTATTGAATGTAAGTTCCAAATGCTCACTTTTGTACCCAGCTCTACAAATACAGGGATGAATAAAACAGACCTGGTCTCTGCCTTCATGAAGCTTATTGTTTGGTAATGTTAAACAAATGATTATGACAATAATTATTTGAATTACTTAATTACTACCTTATCTAATAGTCACATAATAATAATTTGAATTGCAACTGTGATAAGTGCCATAAAAAGATATGTATCTATATACTGTGTGTGTGTGTGTGTGTGTGTGTGTGTGTGTGTGTGTTTGATATAGGGTGAGATGGGGTCTTGCTATGTCGCCTAGGATGGTCTTAAACTCCCAGCCTCAAGCAATCCTCTAGTCTTGGCCTCCCAAAGTGGGTAGAATTATAGGCATATGTCTCCAGGCCAAGCCCAGTACCTATATACTTTGCAGTGCATGTGTGTACATGTGTGTGCAGCTACCAGTGGGTGGAGAATCTGACCCAGCACGAGGGGATGGAAAAAGGGTCCCCTGAGGATGTTGAAAATGGTACTTCCTATGTGCCTGGACTGTTCTTGGCCCTGTTCTTAGTCAAACATGTTCTTGGAACACATTTTACTTATTTATGTCAGTAAGTAATCCAAATCACTGCCCTCACATTTGTATTTTAAAATAACTGTGGGGCCGGATGCTGTGGCTCACGCCTGTAATCCCAGCACTTTGGGAGGCCAAGGTGGGTGAGTCAACTGAGGTCAGGAGTTTGAGACCAGCCTGGCCAATGTGGCAAAACCCTGTCTCTACTAAAATTACAAAAATTTGCTGGGCATGGTAGGAGGCGCCTGTAATCCCAGCTGCTCGGTGGAAGCTGAGACAGGAGAATCACTTGAACCTGGGAGGCAGAGGTTGCAGTGAGCCAAGATTGTACCACTGCACTCCATCCTAGGGGATAGAGCAAGACTGTCTCCAAAAAAATAAAATAAAATAACCCTAAGGGTGCTCTGGGAGGGATGGATTTGTGAATTCAGAGAGTTGCCCTGCTTCTTCTCTTCAGATCTTCAGGTAAGTCCTGATTTGAACCAAAAAGCCACTGCTTGGTTTTTTGCCTCCTAGTAGAGGAAGATGGCTGAGAAAGGATGTGCTGGTGGAAAGGTGAAGTGGAGGAGGTTGAGGGACCGAGGGTCCTAAGGCCAGGTAGGAGGCCATGGCTGTGGGAAGCTGAGACATGGATGGGAGGTAACAAGGCCTTGGCTAAGGAGAGGGCTGGGCCTAAAACTTCCGGAGATCACCTGAGCAGGATTTGGTGACAGACTGGATGGGATGAGGGTTGAGAAGGAAAAGGAGGAACAAAGACACCACCAAGCTCTGAGCATCAAGAGTAACAGCACATACGGTTGGAGCTTTCCTCTTCGGGAGCCTTTCCCTAAGCTTTCAGGAGGGTGGTCCTTAAATTTTACATATTTTGCAAGACTCAGCTGAGTGGCTTTCATCTAGAGAAAGTGGTAAGTGGCTGGAATGTAGTTAAACCTCTAGGGGGTCCTATTTGCAATTTCTTCCAAGAGAGAAAGACTGATCTTGTCTGTGTCCTGCCCGTGTGTGTGTGTGTGTGTGCGCGCGCGCGCGCGTGTGTGTGTGTGTGTGTGTATGTGTGTGTAAAACCTTCCTGCTAATGTGTCCATGTCTCTGGATAGATAAGCATTTCTGCATATCTGTGTCATTGTCTTTGAGGCAATAACCTTGTTTCTGAATACGTCCTTGCAAGGTGCCTATCCTTGTGTTAAATGTGTCCAGTCTAGTTTTGAATGTGATATGTATACTGGTCTTTACATGTACTGATATGTGTATGTATGTGTGTGAAAGA